ACTTAGTCTTCTGTGAAAAGGGCCTATCAGTGACCCAGAGATATTAAAGTAGCAGCTATTACTGTATAAAATTTATGGCAAAATCTACGACAGCTAACAAATTTATATTTCTTACTGTATCAATAGTTACATTTCCCAGCCATAATGCCAGCAAGTACTTCCTAAAGAATGATAACATATTTAATACTTTGATTGCAATTAATCACTGCAGTGTGTCTTTGCGTCTCTCTCTGTGACAGAGCGGAAGTTCAGTGCAACTCCTAGAGCCAGCGCACCATAATATTTACTCTAGCCAGGCAGCAAATGCTGCACCTCTCCTCTCGTCCATTAGTCTGACAAGCCTGGGAAGCCGTGCCAACACACATAACACACGCATGCTTACGTATACGTCACTATTCTCTCCTTCACTGTCTGCTGTTGTGTCAGCAGCATTTTCCTCTTCTCGCTCTTGCAAGGAAGCTGACAAATAGTCATGGAAGGAAGGATAGACGGGGAAGTGGAGGAAGTGGGTACAGGAACTTTTTTCTTCTGTTCTGCTGGAACATAGCTTGGACGTGTGACTGACAATGAGAGGCACACTGCACATAGGGCATGTGCTGGAAAAGAAACAAGCGCATACATATACCCTGGCAAGAGGCTTGTGTTTTTACTCTGGGCCCACGAAATCCAGTTGAGCTACAAATGAGAAGTCTATATGACTCTTACCATATCTTTCCACTATTATAGCTTACGGAAAAACTAAGAATCAGAAAAGGTCAAAACAAAAGTGGTGAGTGGTAACAGTTCAGTCTAACCTCACAGACCAGTAGAGTGGTCATATTGAAACCTGAGTTGTATGGGGCCACATTTCAGTGCATGATGAACCAAACCATACAGAAACAAATTGGATAATTCCCATAACTGCATCCACATTTCCTTCACTTGTGTCTTTTTCTTGTGTCTTAGTCCCGCCCATATAAGATGCAAAGAGATAGGAATCGAGGAAATGTGTTTTAACAGACAACCTTTTCCTCCAATCCTCCATTTGAAACATCCAGTCAATAACAATTTTTAAATAAAGAGTGGCATGTCAGTCTATAACAGACTTCTGCAAATGATGGTCTCTTTTACCTCATTCAACCTATCCTCCTCAGATGGGCTTTGGGATGTCCTTCAAGATGGCAGACCGATACGACTTACGGATCAAATAAGGGATTAGGATGTACCCACTGTTCCACCAAATACAATCTAAATAATCATCTAAAATGTCTCCTCTGAGGCCTATTGATGGGTGGTGTTTGTACCACAGAGTTCCCTGAAAGAGCAAAAAGCAAGTAGTCGTGCCTGTTTCACTCCCACCCACAGGGCTCTGTTCTGCTGCTTTCACATGTAACTGAGCTAAAATAGCCTGAGGTGATCGGTGGGTGAAGAGCACCTCTTCTAATACACACTTTGCAAAGATCTTCGTCATAACTTTGATGAGCGATCTCGGGTTTGATCTCAGTGTTTCCTAAACTAGCTGCATTTCCTCCAAAGGGAAAGAAATATTGATGGCTTGACCTATGAAGGTGTTTAGCGCTGTGCTTTATGTTTTTACTATCAGCGTTTTTATGTGTAAAGGTTTAGTATGTGTGAGTAAAACCTTGTTCATCACATTTCCTAACAGCTAGATCAGGCCTACTCCAACACAGCAGCCACACAAGGTCAAACATGTTTATGTTTTCTCATCCAAATTCATCTGAATTGCTAACAAACCAACCCACAATCTGCAAAAATAAAAGAATAAAAAAGCATTAATATTCATTAGAAATTACCACAGCTGAAAAAATAAATGTTAATCTATGCATAATTGGTGAGCATGCTACAGGGTAATTGGCTCTTTCAGATATGAGTCTATGTGTGAATCAAACACCCTGAAATGTTTGCCTGTTGGAGCATTTCATCAACAAGCTGAGAATGAGCTTGTGTTTCATGTCTCAACATGGCTGCTGTGATATCCACAGTGTTATTCTCTTCAGATGCAAGCCGATGTTTTCCCTCATCTGTTATCCTACAGCAAGGAAACCTTTCACTCAACAGACCCTTCAAGACTTTGTAATGAGCTGTCCAAGAGACTAATGACACTGAACATGAGCTTGTTATAATTAGAATCAACAAACAGCTGACAGACAGTTGTTGTGCTTGGCTAAAATATATGATCAGAATATTAATGTGCATCACGATTTGGTACACATTTACAAAATCTCACAAACACACAAATTCCAAAGCCATTTTCACATATGAACTCTGGAGTATGTCCACAGAATTAGGCCCCGATTGCTCTTTCACACATGTAACACACAACAGGAGATAGTCCATGTCAGACACGTTCTCACCTACTGGAAATACTCTGGTTTATGCAAGGGGGTGTGTCTGGGTAGTAGGGTTGTAAGAAAATATCGATACACTTGAGTATTGCAATATTACATTTTGGGATACTGATACGTATTGTATCGCCAGATTCTTGCCAAACACAGCCCTTACTGGGTAGAAAGCACAGGAGGCGGGACATGATGCGGTCACGTAGCCAGCTTGTAATTTGGTCAAAAACAACTGAGTCGCTTGCCATTCCTTGTATCTGTCTGACAATTTTGGCGCCGGCTCTTAAGGACAGACATTCCCGGATCTTGTTGTGTCTCAAGTTACTTATTTTCACTGGCATCTTCATTATAAATGATCGTTTTTCTTCACCACCAGACGTTTGCATTCTTTCACATGACAGAACATCATCAACACACCCACCAATACTTTGGACTATACGCTGCTGTATTCTCACATGGCCTCCCTGAGGCTCACTCAGACTGTTCGCGGACTTTGTACTAGGGAGCTGCTTAATGTCCAGTGTCAACTGACTCAGACATTTGCGTTCTCACATACAGCTCCTCTGGGCAATGTCTACATAATTTCAGGGTTCCAAAATTCTGTTGTTTTTATTTATAAGTACTTTAGTTTTTATTTCCCTAATGCACATTCCTTTTTCTTTTTTCAAATTTTCATTTCTTGTTTTCTTAGTCTTATGTTGTTTATTCATTGCCTTACAGCAGAATATTGCACACGCACACTGACAGCCTCTGTACCCAAGTCAAATTCCTCATGTGTTCAACACACCTGACCAATAAAGCTGATTCTGATTAAAGTTAGTCCAAAATGTATTAATCTGTTACGAAAGAAACTTACAGAAGAATAAAATGATAACTGAAACATTCTGTAGGTGAATCAATAAGTTAAAGGAGAAGATTGTATGAACAATTTAGCCTATTATTTTAGCCATTTTTCACAAAAATTCCAAACTTCTCCTGATATCTTTAGGTTTTTGACTGTTGGTTGAATAAATCAAGATACTAGAAACTGTCATTGTGGATTCTGGGAGTCTCTCCCTATTTTCTAACATTTTATAGACAAAAATATTTATCCAATTAACAAAAAAATCATCAGCAGATTATTTGGTAATGAAAGTAATTGCTAGTATTGCCAAATGCACCATTTCTTTTCTCACATCAGCGCAATTATGGAGTTGCTATTATCAAGGAACAGGGGAACAGGCCTGCAGAGATCCTATCAGAGATCATTTTATCTCTGGTGGAAATGGGAAGCATGCATTCTGTCTGATGGGAAAACACTGTGCAGTGATTCACACAGCACAGGAGTGAGCGTAAGAGATAAGAAAAGAAAAAAAAACCTGGCAAGCCAAGTCAGTAATGGGCCCCGTCTCCATGTCCCATCCCAACTGGACTCTGAACACAAACTGTACACGCTGTTTTATCACGTAACAAGATACGAGCGCACGAAGCCTGCATGCTGCTGCTCAGCCAAGCCCTGCAAGCAGCCAAAAGACAGACCAGTGGCAGAAACAGCCCACATCCAGTGATCTGCATGTCAACTGCAATGCAGACAAACACATACAGATGTGCACAGACCAAAACTACCACACCATATCATAATGACACCAGTGCTGTTTTCAGGTTTTGAGCTGCAACATTTACCACTTCAGTTTTGATTATTCTGTCAGGCAGGCAAACCAATCGTCCAGCAAGCTGCTTGGTCAAACTGACAGACATAGAGGGATCGTATTGTGCTGGCCTTGTGGTTTCTGCGCCGCAGTATAGATCACCTTCTCACACCTCACCGCGCTAAGCACTGCCATGACGAGAACTCAACACATGCAAAGCAAACACAAACTAGATGTAAGAGACAGTCACGGGAACTCCCTCTCACACTCACACAGAGACAGGGAAGACATCCTGTAACCATGGAAACCCTCCACCTCCTCACATGGTGACATCACAGGTGTTGCATCATGACCCAAAGAGGGGGGCAAATGATCACCTAAACTGCTGCTTGTTGCTGCAGGTGGACAGGCTGGATGGTGATGATGATGATGATGACTGAAGGGATGATGATGAAGAGGGAGGAGGGCTAAGAACGGATCCTTGGAGAAACAGACGGTCACCGGAAACAAAAGCCATATGTGAGCAACGACTCATAGGCACACACACTGTAAACAAGTGAGGGAGGCAGATGGAGGTAGACAGAGGAAGACAGACAGATATGTTGAGAGAGTGTGTGTGTGTGGGGGGGGGGGTTGACCTGTCATGGTCTGGTGTTGATCACATGGAGAAATCTACAGTAGCTAATGACCATATTGCACATTTTTAAATGCAGCAGCAAGAAAAACATTAGCGAGCCTACAGTATAGAACCCCTTTGGTAATGTAATATATAAATAAGTGTCTGAGGACGAAGGGAGGGATACACTGGAAACAGACTCGGGCTACTTCTTAGCTAATGAGCTGCAAATGAGTCTGTATACCCAATCTATTTTTGGCTGCAGTGACTTTCCTAATATTATCCAGCAGCTCCTGTCTTCCCTCTGAGGCAGGCACATTGCAGCAGCCAAGACAAACAGCGGCTCCTAACCAAACGCTAAAAAGTCCATTTGATTTGTGTAGGGGTTTCAGAAGAATACAATAGCCTTTCCCATCGTACTAGTAAATCGGTATGCACAGCAGACCCTGGCCCGGCTACGGGGTTCTGTCCTGTCCTGGGGCTGGAGCCGCAGCTCGGCTCAACAGCTGTGTCCAGCTGCGCTACAAGGAGACACTGGGCGCTTTGTTTCCCACACGGGGGAGGCAGAGGGAGTGTAAACGGTCTCCGTTTGTGTACACACAGTTTTATTTCCACAAAGGTTAAAGGCCCGTAGCCTTTGTCAGCCCAGGTCCCTCTCCCTACTGTTGAGTGTTTCTCCAAAAACAAACGGCCTTTCAGCAGCAGGCTGAGATGGAGCAGCGAAACGGGGGGTGGGGGGGGACAGCCAAACCAGGATGTGTGGAAATTTTGAAAAACGCTGAGCCGACGCTGCCCAAGCCGAGCGAGGACATTCACACACTCACGAAGAGAAATGTAATGTTACACAACTATTTCGAGTCCTGTTGTGTTTTATCGCCAATAAGTCGACGAGATAAAACCACGTTAACGTTGCAACAAGCTCCACCAACACCAAACACGAAAAGCCCAGTGTGCAGAAAGGGAAAGCGCAGGGGCAGGCACGGCACACTCGGGAAACAACAACAACAACAACAAAAGAGGAGTAAAGAGAAAAAGAAACCACAAGCAGAAGCGTGGTTTTCACTGGAGGATAAATGACACCTCTGGGACATGAATAACGCTGGTACTTACTCAGATGAACCGGTTCCGCTCGGTCCACTGGAGGATAACCGGTCGGTCTTCCGCCTGTGTGTCGGGCGGGATCTGCGCTATGGAGAATGGAGAGCTGAGAGCTGAGAGCCTCGAGGACTGAACCTAAACTGTGGCTTGCGTCATTTCACCATGATGCCACTGTTGCGCGCACTAACGCAGCCATCTTACTAAGGAGTGCCCCACCAATCACTGCTGGACCCGGGCCCCCGTCTTATTTTGGTCCCAACCACGAAAGTGATCCACCAGCAGCCGTTATCAGGTTTACCACATAACATGCAGTGGGATATTGGAAGGTTAATCTAGGGAAGGATGACTGAATCTGTTCCCTTCATTAACCTAAAATAGGACATCCCGTGCATAGTCTCACTTTGATCAAGTACTGGAAAATAATTTAGTTAAGCACATTTACTCGTGAGAGACATGTACTCACTGTAAGTACCATAATAAGGCCATTTTCTTGAGTTCAGTTGTGATTTCTATATTTCAAAAAGAAATACTGACATTTTCCACAACATTTATGTGGCAGGTGAGGATTTTACTTGCAAAATATATGGATAGGTTAATGCAGCAATATATTAAGTTGTAGCAAAAGCAGCTTCACTCCCGTCAGTTATATTGAAATGGTGCTTACATGTTAATGCTTCAGTAATATTTGCATAATACAATCTGAAAGGGGCCATTCTGCCCAACAATTACTTTTTCTTGAATACTTTGTGTATTTGAATGAAATTATTTTCATATTATGCTTAAGTAAAGTTTTGAATGGTGTACTTCTATCTGTAACACAGCATTGCTATTTTACTTAATTAAAAGATGAGCACTTCTTCCACCTCCGCTTTAATCGGTTTTACAGTTATTCCATGGTGCAGACTGAGAACTTTCCAGTTACATATCTATGTCATGTTGACTCAACTGATTTTAAGTGGGCGTCTGCCTACAGTCTATAGAAACTGTCTACTGGAAAATAAATTCTTTACCTTACACTAGTTTTACTGCTTTCTCTGAAACCCCACAAGTTAAGGTTTACAGTCAAAAAGAGAAGCCTCCTTGGATCCAACCATGCCTCCATCAGTAAACAGACAAAATTCATCTCTCCTCCCATTTAACATCTCTGCAATTGAAACATCTAAACCAAACGTCCAGTGTTCAAATAGCATAAACACAAAGAATCAAGCCAGTCTTCCCCATTATCTTCATTTTGATTTAATTTCATCATGTTAATTTATTGTCTTATTTTTGATCCTTCCAGTCACTCAGCTGCGACAGCCTTAAAGACAGACATCGCCCCCCTGTGGCGGCCTTCAGGTGTGTAAATAATCCCAGCATGCTGCTGAGGGTGGTCCAGAGTTATGGAAGGGTGGCGACCAGAACCTGAGCAAGCAGCACTATATTTTGTAAATATGTCTCAACAAATACAAATTTACACTGACAGATGACTTCATATAGCCTCCAGAGAAATAAGGTTTGGCATCAGGTTTATGTACCATAAAAAGATCCTGCAACTTATTTGATGTCACTGATGCCCACACTAATCCATTATCAATGTGTACAGATGATTAGTCCCATAAAAGTATCACCACTAATAATCATCACATTTAAATAAAATGAACTGGTACATGGATTCATTAGTCAGTGCTGCATAAGCATTCATTTGAGCAAAAGGAGTCAGAAATTAGAGAACAACACGAGAAGTGATTTGGACTGGAAAATGAGACACTGTTACATACAGACTGGTCCGGGTCATCCATTAGAGTCTGTTATGACAAATCAACAGGAACCATTTGAGACTGAGGTAAGAACCCTGGTCCATCATCTGCAGGGCTCAAAAGGACTCCCTTGTGGTCCCGAGATACAGTGTGTGGGCTGCCTTGGCACATGATACCATTTAGAGGAGGAGACAAAACAGTCATTAGACATCTCTGCAGCTTCTGCAGAGTTTATCAGGACTGAGCCTGGTGATGTGCTAGGGCTCTCCCCTATGGTGGGATCAAACCACAGTCATGACACAGTCAGCGACTGTCAGAGCTCATCCTCCTCCATTTTCTGGAAAGCCTCCAGGTCTTCCCGCCAGTCAGCCAGGAGTTCATCCACTGACTGGCTGCTTGAGTCTGTGTTGCCCTGAGACTCCTCTCTGCTCTCAGAGTCTTTGTCCTGTTTGGGCTGAGGCAAGTCTGCCTCTGCCTTTGTAGGAATAGCTTCCTGTTCCGTTGAACTACCTTCGTCTGCAGAAATGACTGCCTGCTGCGATGGCGTAACCTCCTCTGGGAGAGATTCGTCTAACATCGCTGTGCTCATTTTTGATTGGGCAACAGGTTCAAATGAGGTAGGAGTTGTTGCCTCGGTTAAGCAGCCCACCTCCGCTTCTTGCACATCCACACCTGAAAAGGAAACAGGGGTGTGAGATGGAACAGCTCAACGTGTAGAACACACACACAGCTCTTTTCCTCCTCCTCAGTCAGTAATCTATACACCATGCTTCCTGGTAGCCATTCTCAGGCAAAAAATAGTAGTTTTCATCGAGCGGCTGTCAACGATAACAGCCTGATGCTGATGGTGAGTCATGTTTTGCACAGGATGAAGCCTTCCTCACATAGCTGCATGCCCAGAGTGTCAACTGAGAAAAGAAATCTGGCAAAAATTGTACTGTGAATTCTGCACGGATCTGTTTAGAGAAAAAAAGCATCTCATTTGTTACAGTTTCTAAAAATGTAGCTACTTCTTTAATTACAGATTATAAATGTGTTAAGGAAGGAGTCTGTGCTTTTTATTTTCCAGCTGAGGGAATACAGCCAAGGCTGCTGCAATGATAACCAGCAAAGACTTCAAAGCTTTCCATAATGCAGGTACAAACAGGCACATGGCACCATATCTGGTCATTACTGTGTCATGGCAGCTTTGTGATTACAGAGACTAGCTTTAAATCACAGGATTAGTGGCCAAGTGTCTGGGTCAGTCACATCTGTTCTGCTGAACAGTGCCCAGATCTCTAACAGCTCCAATAGCAGTGTCTGTTTAGGCTGCTTAGTATTAGTTATGAAATCTTTCTTGCTTTATAAATGGTTTGGCAGCAAATACAGCAAATGTAGACAGAATGACGGCAATACAAATTAGATGTTTTAGAAATGTGGAAATCTACAAGTTTGGCCAAACACTGCCACTATGTCCCACCTTGCTATGTGTGGTTTGCTCCTGTGATTCAGTAAAAAATAAAGCACAAAGAGCTGTCATGCCCTGTGATCTGAGAGGGTAAATGGCAACTGACAATACCATGATTTCACTAAACATTTCTAACAAAAACAGAAGGCTATAATTTGAAGGCAGATTGAGAGAAAAAGGGATGCAGAGATACAAGCTGTAAAGAGGGAAACAGATAAAAAGAAGGGAAAGGATGAAAAATATGGGTGACAAAGAAAGAAGGAAAAGACAGCAATACTTACTGTCCTCAATCAGGTTGCCAGGAAGAGGTTTACCTTTGAATATGGCAGCTGCTCATCCAAAAGGGAGAGGGTTACAGAAAAAAAAGAGAAACCAAGAAAGAGAGAGGAAAGGCACTGTTACAGTCCGCCAAACGGGAATTAAGGGATTTGCCCAATGAGGAAAAAGAGGAAAAGAATGAGGATGCAGTACTGATAAGGATGTAAACATTCAGCATGCACCATTAGCATGGCAGCTTTGTTATGAGTCACAGTCTGAGACTTCAAATAACACCTGAATCCCTACACCCCATCTTTATTTTATAAAGTCAAGATGCACAGTGCATACAGATGTGATTAATTTCATCAAGAGAGGTAACAATGAGAAGAGAAAGCATACAGTCAGAGGGAGTAATGTCACACCTCTGTCTCTGGCCTTGTCGCTCAGTAGCACTTCCACCTCCCTGTACTCCTTCAGGGCCTCCAGCAGGATGCTGCCTTCCTTGTGGAAGAGGAAGAGGAGAGGTATGGTGATGTCATCCGTGTTGCGGCCGTCCCCGGCCATCTGAAACAGGGGAGCTGTATCACTGCTGCTACCTTCGTTGTCATCTGGAAGGAGAGGAAGTGAGCAAGAGTAGAAGAAGAGGTACAACTAGTCTATTAATCAACTGACAAAATGATCTGAAAAGAAGAACATGGATAAGGAATTAAGTCCTTTAACAAGGAACAATGACAAACAACTGCTGATTCCAGCTTCTCAAATTAAAAAATTTTTACTTTTATATTATTATAAATTCAATATTTAAGGTTTTTACCAAGGGCACAGAGAAAAGTTGGTGAGCTTTTCTCAACATTTTCTGACATTTTACAGACTAAACACTCAATATACTAAAAATACTTTTAATGTAACTGAGATTAACTGATAATATATAGTCTATTTTGCCATTTGTTGTTAGGGAATCTGTAATCTTATCAATTAGATAAGTAGTACATAGATCACTGCTGTAACTATTAGAAGTTTACCTTATTATTTAGTCCTCATTTAATGTGCAGGACTATTCAACTTCCTGTATCCAAGATAATCCATTTATCTGGCCCTAATCTAGTCAGTGAGTAGTCATCTTCCATCTTGTGTCATTAGCTGCTTGCACTCACCGATGACTATGCCTCCGATGGCGCCAGCCTTCTGGATGTGTCGAGCCTTCTCTGCAAACATGCACTGACCTCTCTGGAGCAGAGCGATGTGGCCCTGGACGTACTCAGCATTAGTGATCTCATTACAGCCGCTGTAGGGTTCAGCTGCAGTCACAAAGCCTCGCACCTGTACACAGGAAGAAAGAGGCAAAGAATAGATTAATTCATTCTAATATTATGTGGTGTATGCTCTCATCTTCCCTGCTGGTACTGAAACTAAGAACTAATCTTTCCCTCAGTTTGAATTAAGAAAATATTCTACAAGAGGAAGTGCCCTCTTAAAAACATGGCAGAAACATAAGTTGTTCTTTTAGGAAAAGCAAACAAGATGGCAGCTAAGTGCCCATTTGAAACCTTGCAGCTCAGCGAAGCTACAAACCCACTCACCCCCGTGGTACTTTTGGACAGATCTGTGCCAAACTGTGCTGGGCCAGCAGTCAGCACCACCCTGCCAAAGAATGGATGTGAGATTATCTGAACGGCTCTAGGAGGCAGCTGCTCTTTCTGCTGCTGGTTGGACAGCTCCATCATCTCCTGCATGAAGCGTACACCGTCCTCTGCTGCTACTGCACTCATTGCCTAGGGTGAGCAGAGGAAAGAACAGAGCAGAGCAAAGAAAAAGACATAGAGGGCTTTAAAAATTCAGGAACACCATGATTTGTAGTTTTAAATGAAAAAAGATACATCTGCAAGTTTTCATAAATGATGGTACCACTATCACAGTATGATCTCCTGTTGTGTTACATTCAAACAACAATACACATTTAAAGACATCACACCTAATAGTGCAATAAATAAAATAACTATCTTCTAGGGGTGTAAAGGTACACATATTCGTACCAAACAGGGCCCATACACAGCTTTAGGTATTGTGCAGATGTGTACTGAATCTGAATACAGTCTTTAATGATAGCAAACAGTAGGCTTGTTTTGCACATGAAACATTTTCTTCAAATCTGAGTTCCCACATGAACATACTGTATGTACAGTATGTGGCGGGCCAAAGTTCAACAACTATACACATCACGCTTAGCTTGGCCAAGCCTCTGCTAGCGAATGTCATGGGCAATGCAAACAAGAAGCCAGAGCTGGAAGACTCTCTCTTATCATTATTATGGGCTCCTGTGTGGGAACACCCGGGCTTCCCAGTGAAATACAACAACGAAAAAAGAAGGGTGGAATAATATATCTTATTTGTTTGTGTGATGCGCTCCAGGCTGCCACTTAGTATGTTCGATCACTAGTAATCAGGTACGTTTTTGGCAACACATCAAACTTGCTAACTCATTTGAAACAGCACCACACAAACATGAATATCACTGCTGCAGTGGAGTACAGACAGCTTTTCACTGGTTAACAGAGCACTTACGTCTTATTAGTAGTTTGCAACACTATTCTATTTTTATGCTGTTATACTTTTCTATATTTTAGGTTTCATTTGAAATAAAAAAAGAATATGTTGACAAAGTTCATAATAAATGACAAGCAATTTTATGATTTGCATTTTCCCTTTACTGTCCCAAAAATGTATCAAACTGTGACTTCAAAATCAAGGTACGTACCAAACTGTGATTTTTATGTACCATACAACTCTAATATCTTCCTGATTCAAAGGATGAGAGACAACTGTCTTGCAATATTTTGTATATTTTAGGATTGCATGTGCTGTGATACCCTCATATAGTAATTGCATTGTATATGAGTCATTCCCCCATCTAGAAGGAGAACACGCAGAGAAAACCAAAAAAAGGCACCCTGTTAAGAAAGTGAATCAGCCTTTGACTTTGACAGTGTTTATCCTTGTTGTACCTGTGTAGCATGCTGGACAAGCTGCACTCTGCCATCTTTCAGGTGGATGAGACTGACTCCCATCCTCCTCAGCAGCTCCAGATGTTCAGGGTTGTTTGCCATGAAGTCCTGAGCCCTCAGAGGAAGACGGCCCATGCCAGGTTCTCTGCAAAGTGCAAAAAGCAAGGTGTTAAAAACAGATAAGTGTGGGCATACAACCTGGTAAAGCCTGTGTGTTTACACACTTGTAAGGAGCAGGACGGGGGCAGCTCTTGTCCACAGCGCTTCGGATTGGCTCTCTCAGGTTACGGGGAAAGGCGGGGTCGGGAAACAGGAGGCGGGTGTTAGGGCACGTCCAGTCAAAGTTAGAGTCATCTAGCTCCTCCTCTGACTGAAGCATAATCAGTATTTCTTTTGTTAAGCAGTGAATGAGGTAAATACTTTAATCATTTTTGTCAGATTTTTTGCAATAATATGTCAATTACTGTTTTGTTGGAAGGAACAGATGAGGAGTGAGGGGCCCTGGAAAGGGACAGAGGCAGTAGGTGAGCCTCGGTTGTGAAGATGTAGTCCTCCACGTCGAATGGTAGGTCGTCCGCTTCAGCAAACAGCAGGAAGAGGTATTTAAACATTTCAGCAAGGAAGAAGGAATCCATTCTGAGAAAAAGAAAGAGGTGTAAGATGTGGGAGACGGTGCTAACAAATGGAACATTGTTAAAACTTTATATTCTATTATATTCTCTATATTTGTCAAATAATTAATATGAACATTACAAAGTAGTGTTTGATTCATCAGCGGGCTAATATTTTATCATAATATTTGTAGATATATCAGCATTTATTGTATGTTGGAAGATATGCTTACATTAATGTTTTAGGCTTTATTTTTAATATGCTTGACTAATAAATTTCTTAATTCAAAGTGTTCAAAGCCATGTTGAGTTGTTCTAGCATCATCCACATTTTCTGATGGTGTACTTTTTTGATAAAAACACAAAAACAATTCCTCTCAAAACTTGATGTGATTTTTTACCAGTAAAGTCAAGCTATTGTTGATAAAATATTTAATTTTGGTTAAATTTACTAGTCAGAATTTCCTGATTTTTTTTCTTTTAAAATCATCTTTTCAAATAAAGTTATATAAATTATAAAACATTGTGATTCACTACATATCTATGTCATAACACTTTAAATAACCCAATTTAAGAGAATCTTCTCTTTATCTTAAGTTAATTTAAAAAATATATATTGGTCAATATTGGTCATTCTATAATTATCAGATAATGTATCTTTTAAATATCAATATCAGTCTCACAAATACACTAGAGTCAAGCTGAGGCACAATGTCAATTCAATGTCCACATGTTGTTTTGAATAACACTTAATCTCTTCCACCACGTGCTTTATATACTGTCCTATCGTGGAATGTAAATGGCGCTGTGTGTATTGCGTGGCTGAATGTTGTCTACATTTGCAGTTAGGTGTTCTATCATCTCACTAATCATTGTACAAATACCCTGCATTTGCTCATATTCTCACCGGTCCTCGTGGCTCCCAGTGCGCACATCCTTCATTGCAGCGAAACCACAGGGAACTCGAGCAAAGCGGTTGAGGTTGTCCAGGATGGTGCGCCCTGCCTCCAGGTAGTAAGGGTCTCCTGTGGCCTGGCAGAAGAAGAGGGCAGCAGTCATTAAAACAGAGGGCAGCAGAGCAACTGTGAAGAGGACTCCGGTGAAATCAAGGCAAACACAAAGATGTAACTTACAAAATAATCTCAGTGTTTTATCATAGCTTTCTTTTATTATTTTTACAAGACACCAGAACGCCAAAGGCAACACAGTGTACAATCATTTTGAACATTAATTAATGATCTTTATGCTCCTCAGAAGCTGTAGAAATTGAGATGGTGCTGAAATGTTGTGAGTCCTAGTGTACCAAGCATTAATTTAGCAACATTTAACACAACATGGTGCCTGATAATAGACATTTACCTCTGGACTATGCTGCTGAAAACAGAACACCTGCATTATGTCACACTTCACTGATAAATTACCTTGTAAAGAAAATAGGTGCTCTCTGCAAACTCAGGCCTCAAGGGATGTTGGGCCCAGTGGACCCTGAAATCAGTAGTGAAGGCCTGGGGACAGAGGGAGAAGGACGAAGGGTCAGTCCACCATCCCAAGCATTGTAATTAGAACAGAGAGACAAAACTAAAATGCAGCTGTGCACGTTTATTCAGCAACACAACACAAAATATATAGGGCTCTATTTGAATAACACAAGGTCAGTTTTGTTATGGAGCAGTAAAAACCAAAGTTGCAGTGTTGGCTACACAGAGATACATTACCTCTGGGAGGAAGTTGTGTTTTTTGGTAACTTGGTACAACATCTCATGGGTCTCAATGGCAGGACGGATGTCTCCCTTCAACACCTGAGACATGCACAATGTTAGTAAAGTAGCACAAGACTTTACAGAAACAGTAAATGCTTCAGTTCACATGATCCAGTCTGACCTGCAGTCCAGGGAAGAAGGCCAGCAGAGAGTCCATCCAGGTGCGTGCAGGAAGAAAAGGCTTGTGGATGTGAACATGCAGCAGCAGAGGAGGCTGGCTAATGTACTTCATTATAGATGCATAGTGCTAAATGGGACATACAAAGTAAAAGGACTTAGAATATAACCGTCATGTGGTGCTTTGTGAGACAGACAGAACAGGTAAACAAAAGACTTAGAGACACATGGTGATTGGTAACGTACAAAAAAAAGTAAAAGAGAACATAAGGAATTAACATAAGGTGAGGAAAAAGTACTGTGTAATTTAAAAAAAAAAAAAAAAGAAACGTTACGTTTTAATGCTAACTTCTGTGCTTAAGGGACACACAGAGTTCTGAAATGCACAAACACTGTATACCGCTGCTTTATGTTGGATATGCCACACTTGACAAAATGATATCAAGCAAACAGAAAGGCATCAAATTACGCTGGCAAGTGTGTGTGAGAGGGTGTGTGTGTCCTCACAACATTGAACCGTTGCAGAAACAGGTCATCTCCTAAGAGGACGTAGGCCTTTAGCAGGTATTCATAGTATGAGTCAATTCCAGCCCCAACTCCACTGTCTGGTGACACAAAACCATACATCACTTTCTAAGATGAGAGAAATCAGATGACAAACACACGTCCTGTTGTACCTCTCACTCCATATACAACAGCTACACTTAATTTCCACTTTCCCATGTCCTTGTCTCATCACCACCCTTCATCTGCCCTTTTCATCATGAGCAGAGCCAGGGGGCAGTCAGGGGTCACCCCTGCCAGAGTCTAAATGTGATGCTTGTCGGTATTAGATACAACTAACATTTTTCTGGTGCTTTATAATTGATGTAGGTCAAATTTGCTTTATTTCATATCATTAGTTCAGCATGATGCAACTTTGGTTCAGTGGGCAAAGCAGTCGTCTCCTAACCGGAGGGTTGGAGGTTCGAATCACGGTGCCTGCAATCCACATGTCGAAGTGTCCTTGGGCAAGACACTGAGCCCCTAAGTTGCCCCCGATGGTTAAAACCAAAAGAAAGCACTGTGTGTCTCATTTTTACACAGAATAAACAATTTGATTCTTAATAATGTTAATAATAATATGGTTTATTATTTTACAGAACTAGGAAATGTGCCACCCCTCTGTAAGTCTGTGCCCCAGCCTAACCACCTGCTGTTCATCTCTCATGCCCTCCTCCATCCTGTTATCCAGTCTCTGTCCCCCTTCTCTCACCTCTTCGGACCCACTCTCCAGAGTGGATGTTGATGGTGGTTCCCACCAGATTGCTATTCCTCTGTCTCTTTTCCCACAGGAAATCCAGGGCTCTCCGGGCATGGGCCTGCATATGTGAGGAAGGATGCATGATTGATTCAGAAAGTACAATTCAATCTACAGTAGCTGTCCAG